GATGATGATGATGATGATAATAATAGGAATAATAATAGGAAAATTATCGTTAATAAGACGCAATGAATTTTTAAGATTTTATATCCTTATTAAGCCGACATTGTAAGAAGATCGATAAAAAAAATATAAGAAATCACTCAGAAAGAGGCGTCTGTTGCCTGAGGGATGATGACAAGTTGACAAGAAGAACTGACTTGAGTGCACAATGGACATCACGTTTCCTAGCACAAAATGAGATGTCAGAGTACCTCTCAAAACGATTAATTTCCCAATATTCTCTGACACAAATCAGTAATATTTGAACACATTTTGGCTAACATGTATTACCTATTATAGGTGCCATTACACCAAGGCCTAAACTAATGCTGAATGATACCCACATCAATCCCACTTCAATGGATATCCAAAATGAATAAAAAATGCAAACATATCTTTATTTACACTTTATTCTTTTGATAAATATTATATTTACACGAGTTGTAATACCTAGTAAATCGCTATTATCATTTTGACCTAATATTAAAACCGAAAAATATTAAAGGATTCTTAGTACAGTAGTTTTGTTTTTCCTATTCAATACTATTAAATACTACCCAAATTTCAAATGTAAATTTTGACATTGGCTCTAAAGTTTTTTTTTTTAAGCAAGTTATAATGATTTATTTAAGAAGACACTTATAAAAAATGCAAAGTCAATCGATAAAAGCCTCAGAAATCGATAGAGTTTGTGGAAGGCCCGTCTCGGCGACCGCGACAGCTTTTTAGTGGTGTTTGAGTGAAGAGGACTGAAAAACAATTTAGTAAAACGAGGAGGAACCGGCAAACTGGAAATCAGTAAAAATACAAGAACACAAAGAGAGAGAGAACGAGGAAAAAAAAAAAGAAATCTAGAATCAACGGAGTTTACACGCAAAGAAAAGCGAAGTTGTTTATTCAAGGCTCGATTCTAAATATATTTAGTGATTCTCTTCTCATTGGGCTTTTTCACTGTCGACGAGAAAATTTCACCCGCTTTCGATAAAAATATTTCAAGTTATTTAGTCGATACTTTATTAAAACGTCTAATAAAAACGTTCACAATGTTCATCAATAATTATGTAAGAATAACAATGAGGTGTAAGCTGGTTTCATTTTATGAGTGCGATAGCCTTGCATTTCATACCGCAAAAAATTCATATCGTTGAACAAGATACATGATTAGAAAACTCTTGGATTGCAACAGTTTATTGGGTTTTTATCGCCTCGTACAGTGACGCCAGAACAATAAAACACTGTTTTTGCTTTGCATGGAAGCGAATTAATCATTTATAATCGATCATTATGGATTATTTATTACTCACATTAGGAGCAATCTTCTCCCCATGGATTCCACGTTCAATATTCCACAAGACTTTCATTTGAATTCCGTTCGACCAAGATTTAAAAAACCCTTCGTTTAGGCCTCTTCATGTATCTAACATTTTTGACCGAGATATTTATCGCTTTTCAGTCCTCGTTGTTACATAATCTCCCTCCATTAAGGTATTTAAAGAGATAACGAAAGTTAAAAAGAAAATAAGAGGTATATTCAACGTTTTAAGATTTGAAGAGGAGATTTCTCGTCCCGAACTCTGTTAATACGATTGCATATCCATCCTGATTTATGACGTTCAGCAACACCTGCGGACTAGCTCAAGTAGGAAGGAAAAAACTGTAGAATATTCAACTGTATTGATATTAAAATCAACCAGACTCAAGTTCCTGGCTCTTTTTCCGCGGAGGTCTTCGCAGATTCTTCACTATTTTCGCTGACTTTCAGAGAATCTAAAATATCTACAAGTTTTTCACCCGGTAAATCTTTATTCGTGCAAGCTCCTCTTCTTCCTCGCCGCCCGCACTTTTGAAAGGCTTCACTCTCATTAACTTCCTTCGTTGAAACTGCCTCTCCATCCATGCCTAAAGAGTCTCAATGTCGAATGAGGAATTCCAATAAAAAAAATCGTCCCAGAATGAAGTTACACGATGTTCCACCACACATTGAAAATTACCAAATTAAAAAAAACGAGTACAAAGATTGTAATTATCTTGCTGCTTTCCTAAACGCGTAGAGATAAGACTCTGTCTACGTAATGAGATATTTTAAAAAGAATTAAGAAATGAAGAAAAGTCAGATACCCATCGCTTTAAGGCATACAAGCCTTGAAACAAAGACCGCAGAATGTCCAGAATTTTGTCAAATGCAAATGAGGTCGAGTAGAAACTTGCTGATTGAAAGCACTTGTCCAATACTGGCACCTTCAGAAAATAAGTTAACAATTGAATCCGATAGAAAATTGTCGAAACCGTTTAAAAATAGTTTAAGGACATATAAATCTTCGTCTTTCTTTTAAACGGATATTTCGTACATGGACTAATAAAAGCAATCAGCTTGGGGTTCTCTGCGAGAGCTTTTTTTTAACATATTAATTATATTCAAAAAGTAATGTTTTTTCTCCGTCTTTATGTTTACTTTTCTGACGTAGCGTAGTCCGTCAACATGGATTAATGGCAAACCGGATCAATGTACAAATAATGCGCTCATCACACACGCGTTTTGCCCATTAACAACTATGAAAAGAGGCCGCGAGCCCTTTCCGTAAAACAACTTTTTCACCTCATCGTTACTTCTCTAAAAGGCTTAGGAAATCCACCATAACGATTTTAAGTTTTCACCTACAACTAAGTCTCAAGTGTAAGTTATTGTCTTTCATTTACGTGTGTTTATCGATTTAAAGCTATGAATTTATCCAAGATTATTCACACTTATTCTCACATCTTACTCAATATTTTCAAATGAAAAATAACAAAAAAGCGAAAAGTATTTGTTTACAAACATTAGGATATCTCGATATCTCTAGGCAATACATAAATGAATTATGGAAATTATTTATAAATTCATTTATTTTTTCCCCCTTGGAAATAAAAATAAAAATTAAATATTGGGGTCGCGGTGTTCTATTGTGCATGTGTTAACAAATTGGATAATGAGGAAGGGCTTTGCAAATATTCGCTCACCGGGATAGACTTTTTGAAAATCATCAAAATAAGAATTAATTCTTGGTGGTAAAAGAAAGGAGAAAATGTAAAAAAGAAGGAAGAATTAATAAAAAAAGGGGGGTAATAACAGAAAGGATAAATAAATGTGAAAAAGAAAAGAAAAAATTGAGACGAATTTTGAAAAAAAGAAAGGAAGAACGAAGAGAAAGAACGAAAGAAAGAAAGGGTATAGAGAGAAGGGAAGAAATAAAAAAAGAAAATAGAGGAAAAATTGGAAGAGAAAAAATAGATAAACGAAGGAAAGTTTTGAGCAAATAAAGAGAATAAAAGATAAAGTGAAATAAAAAAACGGAAAAAAAATCCGGAAAAAGGGAAGTAGAACTATAAAAAATACATCGATAATGAATGCATAATTCTCTCTATGATCCATATTGTCAACAGCTTCTGAATACATTGAAAGCAACTGTCATTTTCATTTCCATTACTAAAGTATGACCGGAAAAACGGGTACATCAAACAAAAGAAAAATACCAGAAAAATGTGCATAAAAACTTCGAAAAAACGTTAAACGGATTGAACTGAACAAGTGAATAATGAGGAGGAAACTTAAACATGTTTACAAGATGATTAGACCCATTCGACCAATCAGTGCCCAGTAATTCAGTGCTCACACAGAGTAACTAAGACGTCAAGTGGTGGCGGCCTTGAAGGACAGGAACAATACGGGGTTATTTATAAGTATTAGTCATTACTGTTTTCTATATAATATGATGCAATCTCGTACCCAGAGCCTGGGTTTCTTCTGGCCTGCGGCGAAGAACGAGGGCTCTGGAATAATATTTTTGGCGCATGCGCAATTTTCCGGAAGTGAAATATAACCAATGAAAGTAATCAAAGTAAAAATTAAAGTAAAAAATCAAAATCAAAATTAAAAATCGGGAAAATCTTTTTTTGATTTATTCGTTAAGTTAACGCATGCGCTCTTTATACCGGAAGTTCAAGAAATACTGGTCTCAAAAAATTGATTATACCAGAGCCCGAACTTGCAATGATAGAGCCGACCTTGAAACGATAGAGACCTTTTTTAACATCTTGTAAAATTATTCACGTCTCGATTTTCCCCTCAAAATTTATTTACCATTATAGCCCCCCTCCCCCCTCC